CCGCTTTCCGGACTTGTCTGTCACGTTCATATATTCGTCCTCAGGTGTTGTCGTTTCGCCTGTAAGAGAGAAGAGGGAAAGTCAGTCAGTGTCAGTCTGCGTGATAGATTCTGTGTCAGCAAATAAATCTTTGCAGACAACAAACTCCTTCGTTCACATCTCCTACGGACACATAACACACCATCGACTATCAACACAATATAATTCGTCTCATATGCAAACTCAATCCTAATCAACCAACAAACGATTCACTCAATCGAACTCGATCTAATACGCCTTCTAATCGATCAAGTACATAATATCACTGTCTCTTCTGTACAGTCCAACTCATCCACTCATCCAGACTCATCAATACAAACACACTCATACATGCAACAGTGTAAACATCTAACCAATCATACAAACATGCAATCACTTGCACAGACTATCAATACCGTTCGCTCAGCACCATCAAACTACAAACCATATTAACATATGCACAAACACACACACACACACACACACGCAAATACACACAGAAAATCTCACAAACATCCACTCACACAATCACACAAACAAACACACACGGATACACTCGTCAATCACAATCGCATAATCAAGACATCGAACACACGGTCGTAGTGCGTGATACAAAGTCGGACAGACAAACAGTCATACATTCAGTCAGACACACACAGAAACACGTGCAAACAAACAGCACAACTCTTAACTCATACACGACTCAATACTTACCTCTTTCTCGATCTCATCCCCACACATACATGGACACACGCATGCACATGCAGATACTGATCACCTTGAACACGCAGTTCCGTAAGAAGCCTTACCAAACATAAGTCACGCAAATGCACACCACTTCACACCATCACATAGTCATTCACAAACACAACCTCACTGTTCATCCACATCCCACTCACCTCAATCTCACTGTTTGCACAACGATTTCCAACAACACTCTAACTAATCAAACACCACTATTCACTCAACACAACACACAAAATCAAATTCAAACTCATCATGGTCAGTGACAGGAGCATCAACAGTAATATCACTAGAAGCAACTTTAACAAAGTCAAAATCAGATGCTAAATTCACGACCTTCAATAAAGTGAATCCTACGAAATACTAACTACTTCCACGACCATAACCAAAACAACACCAAATACTATCACAACAATGCTGCTAGTACAAGTACTATTGTTACTAATACTAATACGTTTACCACTGATAACATTGCTTCCATTACTGCTAATAATATCAATGATACAAATCACATGATCAAGTAAGTGCACTTCGTTAAAATCGAGTACAATCATAGACACATTGACATTTGTCGGACCTAGTGCACTTACTATGTGTTGACTGAATGCATTCCAACTTACCTGGCTGACCGTCTCTCTCTCGTCGCCTCCTCCTTCGCCTGTACCGAGCCATCACCTTTCCGGACTTGTCTGTCACGTTCATATATTCGTCCTCAGGTGTTGTCGTTTCGCCTGTAAGAGAGAAGAGGGAAAGTCAGTCAGTGTCAGTCTGCGTGATAGATTCTGTGTCAGCAAATAAATCTTTGCAGACAACAAACTCCTTCGTTCACATCTCCTACGGACACATAACACACCATCGACTATCAACACAATATAATTCGTCTCATATGCAAACTCAATCCTAATCAACCAACAAACGATTCACTCAATCGAACTCGATCTAATACGCCTTCTAATCGATCAAGTACATAATATCACTGTCTCTTCTGTACAGTCCAACTCATCCACTCATCCAGACTCATCAATACAAACACACTCATACATGCAACAGTGTAAACATCTAACCAATCATACAAACATGCAATCACTTGCACAGACTATCAATACCGTTCGCTCAGCACCATCAAACTACAAACCATATTAACATATGCACAAACACACACACACACACACACACGCAAATACACACAGAAAATCTCACAAACATCCACTCACACAATCACACAAACAAACACACACGGATACACTCGTCAATCACAATCGCATAATCAAGACATCGAACACACGGTCGTAGTGCGTGATACAAAGTCGGACAGACAAACAGTCATACATTCAGTCAGACACACACAGAAACACGTGCAAACAAACAGCACAACTCTTAACTCATACACGACTCAATACTTACCTCTTTCTCGATCTCATCCCCACACATACATGGACACACGCAT